GGGCCCCGGGGGCTCTGCGGGCTCGCTGGCCCCCGCACACCCCTACCCCCCCGGAGCGGTACCGGGGGATCAGGCCCGCACCCAGGGAGCCCTGCTCGGAAGGGGCAGCCCTGAGGGCTTTTTCCTCTGACGAGCACACAGGTACAACCGCTGGCAAACACCAGATTCCGCCCGGAAAACCCACGAGGGGGGCCGAGTACCCAGGCCCTGACATTCGGGGGGACACACGACGCAAGCGTTAATAATTCCCTAAAAAGAAGCACACCTCAAGCTGGGTTAACGCATTTTGGGACCGCAGCCTTCCTCCGAACACCTACATAGAAGAGGCGGGCAGGTGACGGGAGGCTGCCATGTTGTGAAGCAGACACAGAAGCCCCGAAAGGCTGTTTCGCTACTAAAAGTGCTCTGCGCACCTCACCAGCTCCCCCCACAACGCTGAATACGAGTAAGCGGTCTCTCTGGAGCCTCCCGCATATTATTTCGCGGATCTATCCTTACCTAACCCTGACCCTCCGAACCAGCAAGACTGCTGGGGTTCGCCAAGACGCTGCCTCGGGGCACGCAGACAGGAATGAACCACCAGTTCCATCTGCCTGGAGCTCCCGTCCCTTCCAGTATATGGATTTCCTGATGCCCACCTGCTCCTCTCGACCCAGCGAACGGAGCACTGGGAGCTTCCGAGTGCAGCGACGGGGGTGCTCAGGCTCCTGAACAAGGAAAATGTTACCACAGCAAGGTGCCAGCCCCCCATTCGCAGGCAGGAGTCACACAAATATCAACAGAGTGAGATACTGAGACCACCTACAAGGTGCAGCTGGTCACTGCCGCGCACGCCTGCCTCGCACTCCCTACCGCGCGAATGACCAGGAACGTTCATCGCCCCGAGCGCGATGCCGGTCGCTCCCCGGGCACCACACGCACCCCTCTGCTGCCTTGTGCTTCTGGGCAACAAAAGACGGTGGCAGCGGCAAGGAGGCAAACAAAACGTGCCCTCAGACCACTCCCAGCACCCCAAGATGTTGAATTCCTGTCTGCACCTTATTACAACGCATGAAAATCAACTAAAAAAATAAAATCAAGAAATGTTTAAAACCAGGCAATCCAAAAGGAAGTCGGATTCTCAATGGTGCAGCTCAGTTGCTGGCTTTGACACTACTGCCCTGCGGACCACATCAGAGGTACGGTGCTTTTGCAGCATCAGTTAACAGAGCACACATAGGAAAACGCGAATTAAAAAGGTGTAGGGGAATACGCAGACACCAGAGCTGGAACACTCCGACCATGGATTAAAAAAGCCCAGGGAACCAGGAGAGCAATCTGGTCTACTGCATAAAACAAGAAGCCCTGATTCCTTATTCCTCATTTTGCCAAAGACTTACTGTGGTGTATGTGAATTCTCAGGGGACCATTTTATTTATTTTTAAAGATTCCTTTTAACCAAACTATTTTACATTTGTTTTGTGTTGTGATTCCACTCTGTATTAAAAAAGCCTATGACAAACTGTTTTCCTTTGAACTCCTGAGATGTCAAAAAGCCCTGCTGGAAACGTAAGCCTAGCATATAGCCCATCTCAGTAACAGAATTAAAGGGAGCTCGAAATGCTGTTCCAAATTTCCAAATGGGAACGAAGTCAATCCTTCTGGCATTCTGAAATTCTGGCCAATTATGCTGTCACCGTTATCAGTGCCACACAGAATTATCATTAGGCCATCGTCGCAGTGCAAGATATCCAACTGTAAAATAGTTGTGTGCCTCTACTGAAAGGCAAGAGAAAGCAACTTGATACACAAAGAACAACAAAGCACATAACAATTAGCCTCAGAAACTCAGACAGATGTTCTAAAGCTTAACAAAATGTTCAAGGTTTTTTAAAACCTTTTTTTTCTTAAATTTTCCTTCCTGTTCTAGTCTTCCATTAATCCAGGCATCATGTCCAGTTCTCCCTTAGCCTGCAGCAAGAACAGCTACTTCTTTTCTCCAAGTCAAGCACAACAGAGACCTGTAAATGCTTTTAAATATACAAGAACTCAATAGCTGCACGCCAAGTCAGATATGACCTGTTGCTCTCCAGCATCTCATAAAACAGACTGCATAACACAGTTTAAATTCTCTCCTCTGCACAAATGACATGCAACGACTTTTATGTCTGCATTTTAATGGTGCAGGAGATGTTGCACTACTCACAGAAGGCATCTGAAAATGACAGCTGCTGAATTAAAATAGTCTTACAATACAGGGCTGGTAGAACAATGAGGCTTAAACCTGTGAATGCACAAGAAAAGTTTTCATAAAAAGTGGAAGTGGCTCTAGAGCATAGTGGCTTAATTTTTAAAAGCACAGAATTTTGATTTTTAAGACAAACATTTCCATTTTACCACTTACGTTTAACTTTAAAACATTATTTATGGCAAGGTTCTGTCAGCATTGTTTGTCCTGTTCACCACAGACAAACTGCAACACGTTTTTAAAAAATGCTATCGATAATTGTTGCTGTGAAGTGGCGTTAGGAAATGCCCTGGCTTGCTAGGTCAGTCAGTGCTGACAGACCACACAGTTCTGTTTTACGGAGTGGTTACCATGGCTATCGACCAGCCACGACACCAGATCTCCTAATACCATTTTATAATTCGAGCTTCCCCAATGAGATGCATTAGATTCTGCAGTATCCTGCTACAATGTGTAAACAGGGAGCTATAAATAACCAAGGAAGAACAAGGAACAAGCATGTTAATGTTTGCATATGTGTTACTTGCAGGTCCCATATTTTACCCGAAGAAACAAATACCATGACAAGATACACAAAGCCATTATGTTCCGGCTAACAGAGCTCAGATGGCATGTTTATCAATGGGATGATAATGCCATTGCAAAGCTGTAGTTAAGGTTATGCGTCAGGGTTTCTATTATCAGGAGATTACAGCTTGGCAGGAAAAATTTGCTGCTGCTGCATGCTGAAAATCCGCACCCTGGGTTTTAACTGGGAACTCAGGTTCCCTGTTCAGTCGTCGTCTTCACTGCACAAATCTAAACTAAAGCTGTTTCTAAAAGCATGCAAGAATAACATCTAGTACAAAATAACCTGCTTAATCTATTTAAGAATTTCAAACTGAAACCTCAGGGGCTTCGGAAAGGCAGGACGACTCTGGTAGAGCTCTGAATTCAGAACGGCTACTGATGTCTCCTCTGAGGTGATGCTTCCATCAGGTTTAGATCAAATGTATTTCCTCTAAGAAAATCCATGTGCTCTTTCACTCCCCTCCCATGACTTCCACCTGGCTAATTAGCGAAGAGCATGTTGTAATGCAATATATTTACAAACACACAAACACAGAGCCTTTTCTGCTCCTTCTTAATCCAGGATATAAGGACTTATTTTCTCAAACTTTCTGGGGAGAAAAAAAAAAAAAATTCCTCTTTATACCATGTCCAAGAACAGCAAGTTCTTCTCGCAACCTTTTCCTTAATTATGAGCATATAAAAATGGAAGATTTTGCTATCATGAAAATAGTAGGTACAGTGCAGGTTTTTAAAGGCCCAAGGTTTTCTAGGCAGAGGCCAGCTGAAATTGTCACCATCTTCCGTATTTAATATGCCTTTAGGTTTTATAATAAATCTGGTAGGAAAATTTACATTTTTTTAATAGTTAGCAGCAAATAAACACTAAATGCATATAAGCATCTTTATCTTTTTAAATTTCACAAGATGAAAAATTATGGCAGTTCTGAAAAGCAAATGAGATCTGGTTATATCTGCAAAACTTCTGTTAAATGTGCAGCACGTTTATAGATTGCCCCAAACGATTTTTTACCACGCAGATGTTCTATATGCGCACTAGCTGAAATTCAGTGCACGGAGTACATTTTATTAAAAGCTTGGCTGAGTTTTAACATTATATTTTGCCTATGGGTATACAGTGCAAATAAAGGCATTTGCCAATAACGTTAAATGATAGAGACTGTCCTCTAGAAGCAGAAGTATCCTGACAGGTTCCTGAAGAAGACACAGTTGTTCTGTAAGCCAAAGAAGTCCAGTGTCTCTCACAGAAACATAACTTGACTCACAACTTTTCTTCCACCAAACTATACCTGGCTGCAGCAGAAAATGATGCTAGTATTTATTGTATCTTTACCTCAAAGGAATTCTACACGCTCAGTAACGGACAGGACTAAGTACCGCTCAGTAATTCCATCAAGGGCAAAGAGAGGTACTTTTAACTTCGAGAAAATGCAGCTGTCACCCACATCCAAGCAATTCTCAGCACCCACCTAACCACTGCAGACACAGCACGCCTGTTTAACTCTTTCCACACACTGCTTTGTTCCCTGAATGCTCCGACCCGAAGTCCAGCGGCCCCAGGAGGCTGCACCGGCAGGGGCAGGGGCCGGGAAGCTGCAGGCAGAGGCAGATGTGCCCCTGCCGTGCCCCATCGCCGGCCCGCCTGAGCTGGTGGGCTTCTGTCCGTCCTGCCCTCTCCAGCAGCCCAGACTGGGGACTGACAGCTC